CGCGAACATGAAATATGCGAAAGTAACAAATTGCAGGAAAGGAAATTTCGATTTATAAACGAAATACAAGTTCATTACGGCTAATGACTTCCTTTAAAAGGGGAAGAGAAGAAACCCAGTATTATTTCTAAATACTTTACTAATCAATTCATAAAAAAAGTTAGCCAATTAATATTAAGTCATAAAACCTTTTCAAGTGTGTTTGCCTAAGTGAATCAATTATTGTTCTCTACTAATAGTTTTTAATAGCCTTTATACTTTTTTTTTGTAAGAATTTTTTCAGAATTCTTATGAACAAATTCCCTGACGTAAGTTTAAATAGTTGTGATAGTTATCTCATGTTTAAACAGACTTTACCTACTTCCCGTCCAAAGGAGCTGCTAATCCAAGTCCTCGAAGTCAGAGCAATCAGCTACTTATCTGTGAATCTAAATTCCCTGAATCTGAATCCGACGAAACCCCAACTATGCATTATTGCCACCGGCAAATCGGGCCATTACATCCCGACCAGGGAATCTGGGATACGAGCAGCCGGACTGGGAATGACAATATAGGGCTTCATAAAGATGAGCGTTTTATGCATCCTTAACTTACACTCTATTTTAATTGCCGCCCGATCCTCGGAGGCTCTTCCTCCGCTCCAGTCCCTGGTTAAGTCCAAGTCCCAATCCCAGACCCGCCGATCTCATGTGCAATTAAACAATCCGATGGCAGGGGAGGTGGGGGGGATGAGGGGGGTGCTCTGGCAAAAGCAAATTTACGTCCGCTGTCAAGAGGCAGCTACGTAGCGTATTTAATATTTTTCAGCCTGTTTTACCTTTTCATGTTGTGTCATCATCAGCATCGGCATCAGCCACTGAGCGAGCGTCACTGCAAAAGATACAGATACTCGCACACCGGCGATCCTGTTCCTTCACAAATTTGTACGCTCAACTACAAACTAAAAAGTCTTAAAGTCTTAAAAGCATTTGCGGCCGAAAAGGCAGCGGCGAAGGCAAAAAGTAAACACAATAAAGGCATAAAAATTGCGAGTGAGCAAAACAAATAAAAATCGAGCAGAGTGAAAAAGACGCGAAACAAAATGCTGACCACTGTCCATGGGATGGGAGGGGGGTGGGGGGTGTGATGATGGTGATCCACTCTGTGGGGAGGGGCAGGGGGAGCACGTTGTTTTGTATCTGTGCTGCTCATTTGCACTTGGAATACAAAAGATACATTTTCGTAAGACCATTTTGACATGACAAGATAACGACAAGCAATCCGACCGAGCGACTCACCAGCCGGAGCCCCTTGAGGGGGAGGGGGGAAGGAAAGGAGGATGAGGGATTCCTCGGCCAGGGGACACCACCCTGTACCGCTCATTGGCTCCTGACTCTCCCGACCAAGCCGAGCAAACCGACCTTTGGCTGAGTGTTTCGTATTTTAATTTTCATTACGGCCACCTCGGCTTACCCTCCCTACACTGGAAGAAATAAAGCCCAAATGCATTAATAAATGGAGTAATCTTGGTCGTGTAAATACAAAGAATGGTGTTAAAAAAAACCGTATTAAATATTTAGCTAAGCATTTTTTGTTGAACATTTCCAGTTCTAAATAGCGGGGAAAAAACTAATTTTTAATTTAGTCTTTTTCTTACCGACGACTTTGAGCTTTGCTAAGCACATTAATAATTAAAAAAAATATATGTTTCCATGTTTATATGTTTTGGTACCTTGGGAAACCTTACTTTTGTGACATTCAAAGATCACAAGAAAGGAAAAGTCTGATTATTCATCTACATACTTATTTATACATTTTAAGGTATCGTTAGATTACCTTTGTTTATTTTAACTAAAAACCATCTTCCACCATAGTTTTTGAGTAATAGATTTGTTTTTGAGTTTATTAATGATCTAAAATTATGTAATGAAATTTTTTCCAAACTTTTGTAAATTTATATACACTACTTTTCTTCGAATTGTTTGAGTTTGTTTAATTTGTGAGTACAAACGAATGACATCCATTGAAATTGTTCTGGCACAGTACTAACTTTTCCTTAAATTGTCACCTGTATTTCTCGCAGTGCTCTTTGCACTTTTCGCCGCCACCTTTTATCCACTAAAGGTTCTTGAGAAGCTGCGCCGGCGACGACAGCAGCGAAGTTCGCGCAGGCAGCGCAAAAGTGAGTATTTCCAAGAAATTGCAAATTATTTTTGAGCCGAGCGCCTGCGCCTGCTCCTCGCGCCGCCAGTCCCCTGCTCCCGATCCCAGCTCCTGGAGCTGGAGCCTGGGGCAGGGGTTGGTGCTGGGGCTCAAGCCGAAGTCCCGTCTCAGTGCCTCGGCAGAAGCCGCCGCCAAAATGAGTTAGCATCCCAAAACCCGGCCGGCTGGCTCTCGTGTCCCTTCGCGGACCCTTCGCTTCCCAAGTCCACGGGCACGGCTGCCCATTGACACTCGCGTCCCGCTGCCCTCTGCTCCTCAGGTGACTTTCTGTCCAGCCATCTCGACCATCTTTCCATCGAGTACCCCAACTCCAAACCCGATCCCCCGCGCCGCCTCCAACTCCTCTGCGCTCCCTCCATAAAGTCGTGTTTATGCCTTCTCATAAACATTTTTATTTTAATGATTTTTATTATTGCGCACATTCGTTACTTTTTATACATCCCCGGCGAGGATCACCTCTGGAGCCTCGCTGGCGTATCGAATTTGATTCGGCCGCCGTGTCCCCACAATTGGGTCCTGATCTTCGCCGGCTAAGTAGTTGCGCCTGTACCTGCTGCCCACCTATACAAACACACATAAATTTATATGTTTACTTATCCCAGGAGAAAAACACATTCCTTTGATATAGTTGGTGGTCACTGACTCAACGATTTTACCTCTTTTGCAAATATCAATATAGGGAAACGCTAACGAGCTAGCCAGCTTAATTTAAGTGAAAACTCCTCCAACCTTCTTATAAAATTAATTAACTAAAAATAATGCTCTGTAGTCAATTTCTTTTTTTAAGATGTTCAAAGGAACTATCAGGTATTTTTAAACCATTTTAATAAATATTCAATCAAAAAACATTCTCAAAAATTAGTCAATAACTCATGGATCTCAAAGTACCAAACCTTTTCTTATATATTTTTTTTTATTTCAGCATAAATTATAAAATAATATTTTTTGTATTATTAAATCATATTGTATTGTTGATGCCTTTGCTAAAATTAAACTTTGTATTGACAAATAACCTTGTACGACTTAGAAAATGTTAAGTAGTGGAAAATACAGGGGAACATTCTCAGCTGTAACTTCCATTATTCTTTAAAAGTCGAAATGATTGCATCGGCAATAGGGAGTATAAAGGCACGTAAACCTATTATATAACTCGAAGTTTTTTTGATGACAGATGGTAGTTTGAGTTATTGGGACTCGACTGTACTTTCGGTGTATGCAACCAATTCTGTTCATTATTCTTAATTTAATGATTCTTAATCCTGGCTTACCTTTAAGACATATAATTTCTTAAGATTTTGAAGGCTTGATTCGACGCAGTAATTTTGTTTGCCCATTGTCGGAAGAACGGACATCGGGACACCTTTCATGTGGCTGGGATCGGGATAAGTTGATGACTGAACAGTGAGTCGGGGCAGTCTCCGCATTTGCAACCAATAAAAATTAATTTACGTTCGATTGCAAGGTTTTCGCGCTTGCAACGAGGGCGCCGTCGCCGCCGCCTCCGTTGATGACACATAAAATGCCACATTTACGGCCCCTTAAGACTTCACTCGGTCGCTTCACTTTCTGCCAACATAAAAATGTTAACTTCGAAAAATGGCGATTTCAAGGGGAAGAGGATGAAGCACAAGCAACCTTTCAAAGTCATTCTTTCAGATTGCGCACTACTTGCCTAAAACCTTAAGACTAAAACCGAGAGTAACCGCCATTGGCGCAGTTGGCCATTTGGATTTAATGCCCCTCCTCTTGTCTCCCCTCTCGGTGGCCAGCGGATCGTGAAACCTTTCCAGGAATCGGAAACTGGGATCGACCGCACACCGCCTGACTGCTGCTAATATCTTCCCTCTGGAGATCGGCACTTCCACCTTGAACCTCATTGCTTTGATGTTTGGCCCGTTCGCCTGCCAGAAATTAATATGCGAATCGTTACTGATACAATTTGGCAAAAAAATAAAAATATTATGCTATTATGCTAAAAATAATATATTATGCTAGGACCAAAGAAAGCTAATGAAAACCAGAAAATGAGGTTACTTTGACAACAAGAGGATTTTACAAGCACGCCGTTTGACGAAAACGCAATAATTCAATAAACAAGATCGTTTATATTGCGGATTACACGAAAATCTCTATCAACTGTATGAACATCAATATAAATTCCAACCGAATCTGGTGGGAAGAGGCTTATGTTGAAACCCCATATGCCAACATTTTGCCATTAAACAATTAAATTTTTTTTTGATTTCTTTCCACGGAAAACTATGTTATCATTTAAGATCAGAGTTTTTCGGAATATATGTCAAAAAATTTAGTGTTTAAGAAATAAACTCTTAAAAATAAAATTATATATTTGGATAAATATAAATCTTTAAAAGATCAAAAGACTTGCATAAAAATATTTTATTAGTTGCTCGTTTCCACTTATGACTATTAAAGACATCACTAAAATTGCAAGTCGTTTTACTCGCAACCTACCATATGATGGATATTATTAGCATTTATTGCAAAAATCAAACTTCTGCAAAAATAATAATGTATCCGAATATAAAAGAAGGAACACACAGCAAGCATGTTGAACTCTAAGACTTTTTTTAGACTATATATATATGTATATGTATTTCACTAACTATAACTTTGAAAAAAATGTTTTTTTTTATATTTTTTTAGACTACTAGAACATATTGTAATTGTTGCATGAACTGGAACTCATCAATTTTATCACTTCCTCTTTAAAATGTGATTTCGGTTAGTAAAACATGCATTTCCAAAACAACTTTAGAGCACAATACACAAGGACATTTACGAAATACATAATTTATTTGAATTAATAATGTCTAATATTCTTAGATTAATTACATCTATGGCGCCTTTAGTTACCTTAAGCGTATTTGGTTGAACTAAAGTGTCTTTGCGGGAACAACAAAGTCGGTTAACTAGCGGCGACTATTCTCCTCCAGCCGAGCCACCGTGCGTCGCAGCTCGATGAGCTCGGCTTGCAGCCGATCCACGGAGTCTACTGGAACTACACTGGCAGTTGGTGGAGCGCCTAGAGGAACTAGAGCTGGAGGATTCACCACGGGAGCGGGGACTGCGCGGACAAATGGCACGGCTCCCTCCACACTGGCGATGGAGAAGTCGGGATGAATCTGGGGAGTGGTTACATTGCCACTGCCCACGGAAGTGGCTCCAGGAGTTGAGATGGTGGCCGCAGGACGTGCTGATGCTGACGAGGAATGGGCTGCGACGGTCGGGGCCGGGATGCCCCGGTGGTTGACTATCAGCTTCTGCAGCTTGGTCACCGCACTTTCCCGCTGCGATTCCAGCAGCAGACGCATGGCCTCCTGGTCCCCGGATCTGGCCTTCTCTAGCGAATCGGATCCCTCGTCGATTAGCACATAGTTGATGACGTGCGCGTGAGTGCCCGGCTTTATGCGGTATATGGGCTGGCCGCCATCGCCTCCGGTGGCCTGCGAAAGAGCCGGAATGTCGCCCATCTTGGCCATTTCGCCGCCCACTTGGAAGATCGATGTGTGGCCGTTGACGACCAGGGGCTTGGGCATTATGTACGGCGAGGAGACGAACTGGGAGCACTTCCGCTTAGTCTTGTCCACCACGGTGGCCACCTTGCATCCGGCGGTGCTGCAGGCGCGCAACGGAAGCAGCGCATCCCCACCAGAAGCCGCATTTGTGGCTTGTGTGGAAGTGGACTGCTGCATTCTTGGGCCCACCAGCTAATTTTCTCGTTGTCGGTTCTTGTAATGATTGTGATGTTTGCTCTTCTGCTCTTCCTACACACGCACAAACTTTTTATTCAGCTTTTACTCTTATTTTAATGTTTTAAATTCGCCAAATTCGCTAAAATCGGCGTCGTTTTTTTTTACGTAGTGTGAATGTGAGAAACAGGCGTTAGTGCATTGTAAGCTGTTCTTTTGCTTAGCATAAGAAAATACCGAAAAATACCAGCGCGCTAGTGCGCATGCCGATAGACCGATAAAAATTGGGCGGGTAATTTGAAAATTTGGTTACAGAAACAACATATTTATACTAGCTTTCTTAATAATGGTTTTTAATTAAGATTTACAGCAAGTTCATGTGAGAATACGTGCTTAAAATTGTTTTGAGGTGACATTAGAATGTCTGTCCCTTTCTTAAGCTTTCTCTTATTTTCGCTAAAAGCCAATTGTTTTAAACAAAATTAAGCATAGATATTTGTATGAATGCAAATTTATGTAATACTCAAAAAACAATAAAATATTTTCTTTAACTCCTGGTCTCGAATGTTTTAATTGTGAAAGTTTAACTGTGATTGGTCTCGTGAAAGACGTTCTATAAATTGATTTTGTCTTATTTAAATATAGGTTACACCTCCTCAATATTAAATATTAAAAGGGAATTTAATTTTTAAGAAATAATTACATATCCTGTCGCAATTAACCAACAAAAACCATTTTAAATGTTCAACTTCAGATTGAATAGGATACAATTTGTATGAAACCCCAAAGTCATCAGGCTGTCTGGTTAATAAATTAAGAAAAATCAATTGAAATCAGTCAAGTTTTAGGCATGTCGCAGAGGGGTATAATGGGGCATTTGCATATAAAATCGGGGTGGGAGCATTCAGGTGTCTGGCAAATCAGTGCGTGGGTGCAACGACCACCGCGGTGACCTCGAAACGGGGCAAATGGAGCTGGTCGACGGATGGGATGATGGGTGGAGTGGAGTGAAGTGGAGTGGAGAGGAGTGGCGGAGTTGCACCCGCTTCATTTACATTCCAAGTACTTTTAAAGCGGACGCGGTCGAAACGCGGGTCGTTAAAAGATGCTGTTTTAGTACTGCAACTGCGAGCGGACAGTTCCAGCCGCCAGCTTCTTTAATTTCCACTCGTCAATCATCCATCTCGGCGATCTTGGCCGGCACTCAGAGTTGCAGCCTCATTGTTGGCTCAAATGAAATAATTACTTTAGCACACAGCGACTGTCTGACTCCGTCTGGTGGAACTGGACTTGGACTCGGACTCGAACTTGGGCTTGCAGGCCCTTCGTGCATCTGCATCCTTAGTCATGGCCAATATATCGACTCGCATTAACCACGACAACAACTGCAGTCGGCGAGGCAGTGCAATAAAATCCTCCAACACGTTTCGTCCCGAGTCCGGGAATAATAAGAAATGAAATGCCATTTATTAAGCATTAATAAGTGCAAGCATCCACGTCCATCCATCCTCCATTCTCGATCTCCGTCTCCATCTCCTCCAAGTGCTCGAGGAGCACTCCCATCTGACTCAGCATGCGATGGCCGATGCGATGCCTGCGGGCATTGGAACCTCTCCTGTCCCTTCACATCCACCTTCATCCAAGTTGGTCAGTGTTATGCTAACATGCAGCCTCCATTTTGGACATAAGCTTGCGTCAAGAAGCAAGGAAAAATCAACTCAGGAGGTGCCAGGATGAAGCCCTATTTCGTCTGTCCAATCAATTCTGTAATGACTAATAAATGTGGGTCATTCTGAATTATTAATAGTTAATTATTATTTGTTCAGAACTCACTCATTCGCATATATTTGGATTGATTTTTTTAATTTACTGTGGGGATGTATATTAAAACGAGGACGGAAGCTAACTTCGGCAAGCCGAAGTTTTAATACCCTTGCAGACTTTGCCGAAGTTGCTAAAACTGAAAAAGTAGCGAAAGGAATAAGATATACATAAATAAACTAGATTTGCGTCGTTTGATGTCAATTGCTTTTATACTGTAAAAATGTCATATAAAAATGGAAAAAAAGGGATACTTTCGCAGCCTTTAACTATTTTTCCTACGGAAGCTATAAGAAATAGACGTCCGATCGGCAAGCGCTTTTACCCTAATCAAGATATGCGTAAATAAATAAGACTTGGAAAAATGTATGTCAGTAGCTTACACACTACGCGAAAAATTCAGAAAACCAACAAATTTGGACCGATTTCACCCTGTTGTTCCTATGGGAGCTGTAGGATATAGACGTCCGATCGTCACGTGCTTTTACCCTAATCAAGGTATGCATAAAAAAATACGATTTGAAAAAATGTACAGCAATAGCTTTTACACATCGCGAAATATTCTGAAAAACATCAAATTTGGACCGATTTTACCCTATTGTTCCTATGGGAGCTATAGGATATAGACGTCCGATCGTCACGCGCTTTTACCCTGATCAAGGTACGCATAAAAAAATAAGATTTGGAAAGATTTATGTCAATAGCTTTTACACTGCGCGAAATATCCTAAAAATCATTAAATTTTAACCGATTTTACCCTATTTTTCCTATGGGAGCTATAGGATATAGACGTCCGATCGCCACGCGCTTTTACCCTGATCAAGGTATGCATAAAAAAATACGATTTGTAAAGATTAATGTCAATAGCTTTTACACTGCGCGAAATATCATAAATTCTTGCAAGATATATCCAATTGTTCCTATGGGAGCTATAGGATATAGACGTCCGATCGGGGCGATTTTCAAACTTGATCTGCGTACACATGTTTTAGGACGATTGTGAAAGTTTCAGATCGCTAGCTTTTAAACTGAGCTCGCAAACGGTATTGAAACAGACGGACAGACGGACAGACGGACAGACGGACAGACGGACAGACGGACATGGCTATATCGACTCCCCTATTGATCCTGATCAAGAATATATATACTTTATGGGGTCGGAAACGTCTCCTTCACTGCGTTACAAACTTCTGACCAAAATTATAATACCCTCTGCAAGGGTATAAAAAGAGGGAATACTTCTATGAAATATTTAAAAATGTTAAAAAAAACTATAACTTTAAATCAACCTATAATTAAAAAACAATTCTTAATTTTTATTGCGTGGGGTTTTTAACATAGCAACTTTTATTTCAAAAAAATGGTTTAATATTTAAGAATACGTAGTCGAAATTTTAAGTTATCCGAGATATGAGCTCTAAATGAAATTAACCTGCTTTGTGAAACGAATTAAACGAAAACTTCACCGCAAAAATGGAAAATTAAAAGACAAACGTTTTAAACCCAAAAGTATGCCATATTTTTTCCAATCAGTTAAAATATAATAAATATAGAATTGCTCTTTAATGATATATTGATCATGTTCAAAAATGTAACAGTTTTCTTTTTTAAAAATCATGAAACCTAGCAAGTAGTGTTTAAAATTTGACTTATTAAAAGCGATATTCAATAAACAATGCATGTATGTGTACATCCAGAACGACTGTATACCCTTTGATATACCCGTGACTAATCAGAATTCAAGCCGAGTACCTGAGGCCTTCAAAATAAAAACACAGCAAAAACTGTGCAAAACTGCACACAAAGGACCGTCGGCACCTGCAGGGTTAACTTAATTAAATTCCATTGCGTTTTGGCTCAGAAATGTGAGCAACATGATGCAATTATGAATTATAAAATTAATATAAAGCGCACTTAACATGCAGGACCGTCGACGGCAGCGGAAATATTTCGCCGAATCCAGCCCACAGACCCAAAGTCCAAAGCCCAAAGACCAAAGCCCCACCGCAGAATTCCCCCAAATGGCCTGCGAATGAGGGGCTCCTTAATGCTCCTCCGTCTGAGGTTGTTGGGTGTGTACCCTAAAATCTTAATTGCAGGGAACACATAAAGTGCAGGAACTGGGGAGCTTCAAGTGCGGGTCCGAGAACAGGGCCTTTGGAGGCTACAATCTTCGTTCGCATACAGATTTGGAACTGTTCCTTTAACCTGGCATTTTTGCGCGCACATTTTATAACTTTTTTTTATTATTTCCTCTATTTTTTTGCATCTACGGTTTTTATTTGCAATTAAAATACATAATTTAAACTGTTTTCAATATATTCGGTTGTGAAGAAAACGTTTAATTTTGTTGGCTAAGCTCCTTCAATTTTGTTAACCTCTTATCTTGTATCTTACTTTCTTAATAATAATAAAGTTTGTAATTGAAGTAATGGATATACAAATATTTTGTATATTTCAAAATGAAACTTTTACATTTTTACATTTTATTGTATGATGTTAGAAATTATAAAAACTTTGAATTAAGAAAAAGAGAATATTAATTGTCTTTGAGGAAAACTTATTAAGTAACTCCGAAGAAAGCTGACTTTAATTCCGAATATATTTGATTGTCAAATCCAAAGATTAACTCCATCTTGCCTGTTTCGTTTCCAACCTTCTTTAATATAATTGTGGGGATAAGTATTACGCATTGTTAAAAAACGGTTCAAATTTGAACAATCATTTTCATAAACCAACTTTGAAAACGGCCTTTAATTCCAAATATATTGGATTAATAAATTCAAATGCTATCTCCAACATGCCTGATTAATTCTCAACCTTTTTAATACAATTGTGGGGCTAAGTAAAGGGCATTATTGGAAAATGATTCGTGGACCTTAACTGAACCTGTGCACTTGGACCCTCATCAAGGCTGATCGATTCGGACAGTTCGCATTGGAAGACTGAGAGGTTTTCGGCGAGTCATGCCACTTTGCACGGAATTTGGCGTAATGAGAAGGTATTAGTGCTCGTGTGGGTGGGGTGGTGGGTGTGGCAGGTCAATGAACCCTGTCGACATTACCTGGCTCTCTCCTCCGCAGGTGACAACCCTATGCAATTGCCAATATCCACGAGATACCGAAAAAGGCGCACCAGCATCTAATGGCATGTGAACATGTCTGGGACTTGTCTGCCACGCCAAACAAGTTGCATCCCTCTTCCTTTTACTTTTGCCTCGTCTTGCCTCTTAACTCACTTTATTCCCAAGTTTTTCGGAGAGTTGTTTAAAAAAATTAAATTCCGCGACTGCGCCGGCCAACACATGACATCCATTTCGACGGTAACAGTAGCTACAACAATAAGAACTTTGGCAACCAGCACGAG